TCAATCTTTATAAATCTCAATAAGAGAGGCCGATTTGCTATTCTACATCCATACTCGAAAGCACACAACCTTATTGAACAGCATATCTCACGAGTTAGCCCTTTTCTAGTGAAGTAAGCAGACTGGGCGAAGGATATACTCATTGCACTGCGCTTGCTTAACTTTTCCCCTTTGCAATGGAATGTTTACAAAAGAAAAAAAGGACTTGTTATGTGCACTAGATGGAAGTTTTCTTCATCGCATTTAGTGTTGAAAATGAGTTTCTTAAAGAGGTCGAAAACTTCACTATATTTCATATTCGTATTTAATAAAGCATGATTGATTGACTCGTTTGTCTTCCAATTACAACTTCGATATATTGTTGAAATATTGAGGAATCTATTTCTAATCTGTATCGACAAGTGAATGCATGATGCAAAGTAGCTGAAGAAAAAGTTTTTCTTAAAAGCACTAAGTATAAAATGTATTATAAGCGAGATAAGCGGAGTTTATTGTTCAAAGTCTGTTTTTGTATTCGTAAGAATCACCAAGTGATGGTTAGTTTTTCATTTGTCTTCAGGATTTCCTTTATTTCTTCAATTGTCTCTGCACTGATTTCATTGATATAGAGTCCCATGGATTCGAGTGCCTGTATGATATATCGAAGAGATTCATCATAGAGCTGATGAGAAGAGGAATGTGTTACCTTGTTGTTTTGCAAGCATTTAGCTATATGTTTTGCTCCTTCATCACTGATTCCATTGGAGCCAAGATCCATTTTGGTAAGAGTCTATATGTAGAATAGCAAATCGGCCTCTCTTATTGAGATTTATAAAGATTGAGTTTTACCTCATTTTTTTCTAATGCCTGAGCGAGATACTGCGCTCCCTTATCACCGATGCTATTTCCACATAGATTTAGCTCGAGGAGTGTCTATTTTTTAAATTAAGAGCTACTCGATAAACATAAAAGGTGAAAGTTTTACTCCATTTTTCTCCAAAAGTTGCGAGAGAGATTTTGCGCCTTCTTCACCGATCTCATTGTAATGTAAATAGAGATACATTAGAGTCTGAAAGAAATTTTTAAAAAAGTAAATTATCAATTTTAAGTGAGACAACCGAATCTTACGCTATT